TTACCAATTTTCAACCTACTCCGTTCAGTCCCAGCTTTACCTTGCTCATCCTGCTTTTTGGCTTTGCATTCGAAAGCCTGTATATTCACACATTTTGGTGGCTGTTACTGTACCCGTCATGATTAGGAAAATAGTATCATGGGTTAAAGATACCCTGTAAGATAGCTTATAAGAATGAGTGGAATGGTTTGGAAACCTGGGTGAGGAATGCCAGTCCTTGAATAATCTGTTCTCCGCGGAGCTCGACGGTGGCTGCGTCTTTCCCTGACCAACGAAATGTAATTTGCCATTTTGTTGTTTTGAAATACAAATGCTGATAATCCGTCTCAAAATGCAATATTTTGTCGTGAGGATGTCCATCGCCTAAAAAAGACGAATGACTGTGAGTTATAGCGCCGCAGTGTATCCATCTTTGTGGAGTGAAGCGCTGCCATAACATTTGTAGAAGAATACTGATACACTTGGTCTTCTGGTTCGATGGGCCACACCTAAAATTTTCCCCGGTTCGCCTTGCGCAGCGCAGCCATAGTGAGTGTTTTGCATTTGCATAGGGCATTTGAGCTGAAGTAGCCAACTTGAAGATCATTCGATGCAGTTCACAGCTCTGCCCTTCTCAAGACCGAGACCCTTCTGGTGTCTGTGCTACACGCCCGTGAACATGTGCAGACGATGTCGAGGAGACTATTTCAAGGTCACCCAGGCAGCCATGATGGCGTCATAATGCCATTCAAATCTTGCGTTTTCAATTAGTCATGCAGCGAGCAGGGCCAAGAAAAATGCAATTGCTGAGCCATCCATATCTAGTGTTTGTGAGCACGATTTCGAGATAAAATGACCGTCCAGCTGGTTTTCAAAAATGGTGTACACGGTGCGGTGACGTAATCAAGTAATGGCGTACTGACAAGCATATTTACTATAAAGAGAAGGTGTTGTCTGCAGCAGTCCTTTCCACTAAAAATTCGTCATTAGTTATAAGTGAGCTTACTTCATCCTATCTGATGCTTGCTTCAACATATTCCAATGCGGAACCTTTCGCTTAACATCCGAAGGCGATACAAAGCATACATATAAATACGTTCATCCACTGCCCAATGAAACAATACCATGCATATATATGTGGGATCAAAAATTGTGCGTGAGTGGTATGTACAGACACAAACACAGAGTCCGTGGTGAGACAGGGAAATCACGAGAGCCATATAAATGGCTGTGCTTTTTTGCATTCAGTCCCTGATTGGTAATGTAGTAATGCTTTTACGATTTCAGTTTCCAAAATACGTTCAGTAATGCTGCTGGTAAACAGTGCTCTATCCCAGCTCGATTAATATAGGCTCGCATGATGCCAGCAGAAATCTGCAGCCTCCGAGGCCCATTTCAACTTTAGTAGCGTGAAGGGAACAATCATAGTTGAATCCTGAGCCCAGCCGTTCCCTAACCACTAAGCCCAGCCATTGAGAGCATCTATAGTACCCGTAGTAACAAACTTTTCTAAAATGAGTTACAGATGTCCGAGATCCACGAAGAACTCTGGGCTGTACTGGGAAGCTTGCACAGAGGGTAGATGTGTGAGTTACATCCATGGAGACGAATATTGCTGGCTACAACTCGCGGTGAGGTGCATACAGCATCGCTCCGCTAAAACGGCATCGTTCGGGACTGCTCTGAGCATGCCTAACTGGGTTCACCGGCAGCTATCTCCAACTCTCACGGGTCATAGACACGGCAAGTCAGAAGCCTGCGAAGTTCATGGGTGCCTGCTGGTCCATGGAGAGGCCACAATGTCTCTGATGAGAAAACCTGTAGAACTAATCTGGTAAAGAATTCCTTCATTTTAGCCCACGTAAAAGGAGGACCCTTGACAAATTGTTGCAGTAAAAGTGTCATTACGAGACGCTTAGAGGAAGCCGGCGCCGCCGCCCTCCACGGCCAGCGGTCGATCGCGCGATCACTTCGCCGCCACCCAGTGGAGCAGGTTCGCGCCCCTCGTCGTCCGTGCCACCTCGCTCCGTCCCGTCCCTCGTGCCGTCCCGGCCTCGTCCTGTCCATCGTGCCGTGCCACCTCGACCCCGTCCCATCCCTCGTGCCGTGCCAACTCGGTCCCATCACGTCCCTTGTGCCGTCCCGGTCCCGTCCTGTCCATTGTGCCATGCCACCCCCGGTCCCGTCCCGTCCCTCCTCCCTTGCGGTCCCGGCTCCGTCCCTTCCCTCGTCCCGTGCGGTCCCGGCCTCGTCCCGTCCTTCGTCCCGTGCCGTCCCGACTTCGCGCTCGGGACCGGCCTCAGCGCAGGTGGCCGTGGAGACGGGACCAGTGGTGCCCCTCTGTAATCCTGCTAGAAAGCCCCACCTGTCCGGGCTGCCATCGTGCGGACCTTTCATTGACGTGGGCGCGGGACTTCGCACGGAACATTGCTGATCGCACACCGCAGGCGCTGGGCGTTGTGTCTCTGGATGCTGCCCTGAGCTGGGGCTTGACCTTTAGATCAGCGAGGGAAGTCCGGGATGAAAGCAGGGACGTATATCACAGCTGATGCAGCCGGTGATCAAAGTTTGCAGGAGTTCGGTGGTCCCGAAGGATGCCGTGAAGCAACTGGCTGGTATCGCGACGTTGACGGATTCTGAAGACGCGGTTCAGTCTGAAGACGCAGTTCAGTCGTCAGATGTGCACCACCTGTGGAAACTTGGGCCCAATCAGTGTAGTGCGCTTTCTAGAACCGGTCCGGGAAGTTATGCCTTTTTTATCTTGTCTTGCGCGTGGAGGATAATAAGAGTTTTGTCCATGCGCTTCGACGCTTTCTGAAGAATGCCACGTGAGTCCATGATGGTGTCTGAGAATTGTTGGTGCTGCGTCCGTCCGCCAGTGGTTTGGTATCCTGCTTGCATCACAGTCGCAGACAATCTCAGCTTGTTTAGGTTGACAGGAAACTGGTAAGGGTGAAATAGAACGCTTCGTGACTGGACATGGCGTGAGTTGGTCATCCAGAGCGGTCTAGGGCGGACGGTTCTGGCGGAATTAGGCGTTGTGCGTTGGCACATCTTTTTACACGTCACCACTTTACCATTCACCAACCCGCTGAATCATTTTTTACGCGGTTATTTGGCCGGCCGCCATTTGGCACGCCATCTTTCCGTCTGCTCCGATCGCTTGGTTTGTTATAGAGCGTGTGCAGTGGTTTGAATCGCTTCAGGCGCTCATTATTGGCGCTTGATCAGGATATTCTGCAGCCGGTGGCGGGTGCGCTATGGGCCGACTGACGTCAGGGTGCAGGACAGACCGTGCCGAACATGGCGGCACGTTTAACTTTCGCCGCAGGATTCTGCCGCTCACCGGACAATTTTAAGATCGGATGGTGGAGGCAGCGCTGATAACAAGTCCTGATTAGCGTGGGCGCTGCTCCAAGAAATCCATACAGTAAAAAGGTTAAGACTGAATCTGTAAAAAGTCGACTTCCGTTCACTACGCTATCTGAGAGTTTGCACCCAGCGTTCAGCACCGAATCGCAATTTATTTTTGAGACATATGCACATATATTCACGTCGTAATTCCGACTCTGGAGCTCGCGCGTTCGCATTCCGTGACCACAACTTATCTGTCGAATTACTGCGACATCCATTTGATCTTTTAGTGAATTACACGCGCATTCCATGGGCGGATGACAGTGTCGCTGCACTGTGCTGCCACAGTCTGGTTGTGCTGGCAGGCCTGCACAGCGCCGTTAGTTGTGGTCAGGTCACGGAAAGGTCTGCCAGATAGCGTCCGGGGGCCGCAGGCCATCAGGCGCTAACGGCTGGTCATTGCCACCGCTCCCAGTAACGACCCCTTCGAAGTGACTCACCGCGCGGACGGCAGCGCGCGCTGACTTCATCCTAACAACCGAGCAGTGGTGAATGGAGGCCATTGGACTGGAAACACCAGCGGCGTCCTGTCACGCGGTGAAGAAGCGTTAGTTGGCCGAGCTGGGTGATCTGAGTTCCAGTCAGGTGGCACAAGGGACGGTGCGATGATGCAACGCCAGCTCACGCGACGGACGCAAAGTCGGGCGCGTCGCTCGGCGGAGAAGGGCTGCCAAATCAGTTATGTGACATACCAGAATGGTTGAAGGTCTCATGCAATGGGCACGCATGATATTTCGGATATTTTGCAGACCACTAGACTTCCCTGGTCGCCTAAAGCCACCAGCCTTCGCGTCGGTTGTGCAGGAGACGGAGATGGCCTGCCTCCAGCCGGCGACGGCGAACGGGGTCGCGGGCCAACGTTCTACTAACCTTGCCACGCAGCCCCCCCCCCCCCCCCCCACGTGATGGATGTGGCCGACTGGGTGCCACATGTGAATGACAAGCGGGCGCGGTCAGTGGACTCGTCGGCTGCGAGCTGAAACGATGCGAGCCGTGGCGAGACAGTGACCTCGCTAGAGTTCGCCTGATGGCTGTAATTCTGGCCGGATTAGACACATGGTAGCACCTCGCCGGCAGCCAACCCTGAAAGCATTCGCTCAATGCCAACCAAAACTAGCCCCCCTCGCACGCTGGATGTTGCGTGCCAGGTTGCTGGGCGTGAGCCCAGTGCTGCTGAGGTCCGCCCTACACTGCACGGCCGCTCCCCTGGCCTCGTCCATGCCGCGTCGGACAGCCTTCCGGCCCATACCAATCTCGGCCTGTTTTATGGACGCAGTTAATTGATTACCGTTTGGTTCGCTTCCAATAAACTGCCAGCACAAAGGCGGATGACGGGGCGCTTTTTATGACCCAGTTTTAGCAGCCGGGCAGCACCTGAGTCACTCGTCAAGTGGTGCGATTCCAACGCGCCGGTTTATCAAAAACAACAGCGTCTGACAGCCTGGCGGTGCATAACTCTGATCCCCCAAAAGAAAACACCGCTTGCTGTGATTCCGGCGAGCTCAGACGGTCAGCTGACGGTGCCTCTTTGATTCTTCGCAGACGGAAGCTGCTGGTGGAGCTGACCCAGACCCGCCACCTGCTGGTGACCGCTGTGGTGTCGTGTCAAGGAGCTGGAGGTCACGGCGGGTCAGGTGCCGGCCCTGGAGAAACGCGTCTACGAGCTAGAGACGTTGCTGAAGCGCAGGTCAGTGCTGGCGCGCCCGCCAACACCATCACGTCTGACTGTGGAGGATTCAGACAGTCCGCCATGGTCTCGGAGAGCACAGACGACAAAGCCCCTCAGCAGTATTTGTTTTCTGGAGCGAGTAACCAGGAAGGACTCTTGCGAGCAACGAGAGATGGTGTTTCTGTCTGGCGAAGGTTTATAAATCGTATGATGATTAATTAGTGTTATTTTCATGTGCTGCAATATGTCCTTACTTCCACCATAGACTTTCTTCTGTTTGAAACAACATTGCAGGTTAGCTATGCAAAGTCAACACAGCCAAGAACTCACAGCGTTAGAGGTCTGATCAAAAGATCACTGGCAGGCATATTTGTATCGGCCAACATCATATAACGAAGTAGACCCGGGCGTTGAGTTGTTCGGGTCATCTCATGCGACATGAATCTTTTTATAGCGCTAATAGTGTGGCAATATTACCAGAATCCACTGAAGTCCAGGCACCGCTTGTGCCCACCGCTGCGCTGTCGTAATACCCAACACCATTGTGCATTCATTGAAACATTAAGAAACAGAGCATCCGAACTATCCAAGCTCTGATGAATAAACTAGTCCGAAGCCGGCAGCGGGCCTGAAGAGCAAGCTTACACAGTTACCAGGACCTTTCCGCTGTGGTACCCGGATGCGTGGCGTGGTCACCCGCCCACCCGCCGCAGTCCGCGGCCTTCAGCGGCCTGGTGTGCTCGGCTTCCTCTCAACTGCCGCGGTTAGCGTGCTCGGCTGCCTCTTGACTGCCGCGGTCACAGCCAGTCGGGGAACTCTGTCAGCCGCCCCCAACAGAGTGCATCGCCTCCCCACAGACGGCAGGATATTGCCGCGCCCGAGTCGAGAAGTTCGGCGCCGTAGACATCGAGCCTGCCCGACTCATGACCGATGGATGGGCGGCAAACGCCGTACCGAGCGCGGCTCTGGATTATTGAAGCTGGCCCAGATGGCAGGTTCCGGGGTCAATACCAGACGCTGGCAGCGGTGGCGCCGGCCTGCAACGGCTCCAGGTGGAGCTCCAGAAGGCCAATATTGGACCGTGGGCTGAATCATACGGATGCCAACATCTGGCGACGCAGTCGTCCTCTCGCCAACAATGAGCAGCCGAGCTGCAGCCGACGCTGTCAGAGTACTGGCCACGTGGGGTCTAATGGCACCGAACGGCAGCACGTCGACCTGCGCGGGGCGTTGGGCCCAACTACACCTACTAAGAAGCGTGATCAGAGGCAATGCGCGCTCGCTGCCGCATCGTCGTGAAGCTCGTACTGTGCTGACAGCAGTGACGTGCGCAAATAATCTACCCTGCGCTCACTTCGATTGGGGCCACCTGGCTAAAAACAACCCTCAAGCCCCGCCACGGCCAGCACAGACGTCCGATGACGGGCGGCATCCTCCGAACCCTCAAACACGATATTCCGGTGAGATGATCTCGAGAGAGTCGGTTACGCTGAACCACCGGTGGGCGGTTTACATCGGGTCCAGTCTGCAACACTAGTGATGGGGGCTGTCGTCCGATCAACATGAAGCAGAAGCGGTATGGCGACAGCCCACACAGCGCTACCCGCAACATCCCCGTCGCGGGTCATTTGGCTGGCCTCCTGCAGTGATTCCTCAGGAAGCTTCGAGCGCCCAAACGCAATAGGTTGAAACTAGACGCTGACGTGCATAGAGCCGGATCTGCAGCTGACCGCGATCTTTGCTTTAGGGCTCATCCAGGGGTGTTTGCCCAGTTGAATGATTCGTTTAGCTCTGCATGCTTCTACACGCTGATCGTGCAGCTATGGAACCCAAGTCTAGCGAAACCGTGTCACCATGCCTATTTGCTCTGCGCTTGGCTGCGGCCAGGACTTGGATATGGCAATGCGCTCTAAATAAGCACTGCACGTGCAGGTTAAATGCTTCTTCCTCACGCCTTTTAACAATTTCGGTGAGAAGAGCTGACCGGCCACTGGACTGCACGGGTCACGGTGCTACCACATTGCACGGATTCTTAAATTATCCTTAACTTGCATTGTTCACAATTAATGGAGAGCTTTGGTTTCTTAAGGATATTGACCATAAAACATGCAAATGGATAGCTCACATTGACTCTACAATAACGGTATCGTTAGGCTTCTGGGCGAAATCGTCCCATTTTAGTTCAAGACTGGCAGTAAAGCTTAAACATCCTCCTGGATAGAACCCCAGCACTACATCCATCAGCCGAATAGCTGGACGGGACTCGCGTCCCTTGAATGCTGCAGTTCACCACCACCTCTGCGAGGGGCTGATGGGAGGCTCTCGGCCTTTCTGTCGAAGGAGGCCAGCGTGATTATGTGCTCAGGTCTGGCTCCCCTCACGGTCGTATGTTTTTGGTAATACCCTGAGGCTCTCAGAGGCGGTCACGCTTGATCCCAGTAAGAGGAATTTGCTCATCATCGCAAATCAAAGTTCAATTTTACCTCTCCCAGGGCTGTGTGAATTGTGTGTGGTGATGAACAGAATTAAAAAGATTGGGCTTTCTAAAACGGGTTCCAATTCTGTGTTTCCTGCGACGAGGAGAGTTAAAAATTCAGTTCTTTCAATCATAGCTAATCCAGCGCACCTGAACTACTGCCACTTCCCGGCTTTGTCTTCGGCCGTAAAGCTTTCGAGCCAGGGCACCGTCATAATGAAGTGCCCATCACCCAGGTAGTCCTTGCCTTCCAATGGGCCCGTTTTAGGACCAAAACTTTCCGGACTTTTGCAGCGTAAGAAGAGAACTCTGGCAAGATAAAAGTTGCCATGCCAGTGACGGGAGGCCTTTTTTGACGGACCGTTTAGTGTATCACATTTGTTGTGTAGCTTACGACCATACGAGCGAGGGCCTGACGGCTCGACTGAATGTACCGCCCCACCTGCTATCCATTCGGTTGACTGAGAAACAGCCCGGATGTCAGGGAGGTGGTTCGGAGGAACAGGAATATATAAGAACCCTTGCCTAGCGAAAATGAACGAAACATCCAATGCTCTAGGAATACCACTTGTCATGCAACGCCACGTGTTGGAGTTCGAAGTTCAAAACCTGTAACGGAAGTTTGGAAAGTTTTATGCCGGGCCGTATCCACAGGTCTGGCAGCCAGCCACGCGCACTCTCCCACGTGGACAGCGGCCTCTACTCAACCTCGGAGAGCGAGCACGAGGAGACTCGACCCCACAACCCAGGCACGGAGACCAGCTCGGGTGAGAACCCAGGCACGGAGGCCAGCTCAGGTGAGAACCGGGGGCCAATCACGCTGGCCGGAGCAGCTCCGGCACTCACATGCAGACGGCGGTGGGATCTGGCCGACGTCCTCATTTGAGGACGCTGACCGGTGCGCCCACGCGTGGGCAAGTGTGCCGTCGCTGCGGAGCAGTTGTCTGTACGCCGCTCTAGCGTCGCAGCGACTGGCAGGCCTGATTACTGCGCGGCGTACTGTAATTCGGCACCCACTTAAACTGAAGTCTCACTTCGACTCGACCCTCACCTGAAATTTTCCAGACAAGAAGAGGAAGCTTTTACAATTGGCGGCATTGTCGTGGTCTTGCAATGCACGATCAAAATACCCAGCTCTAACCTTTGATGAATGGTTCTTGGATACGATAGAGGTAGGGTGGTGTGATGTCACCTCGTTCTTTCCATGGAACACCAGAGTCAATGCTCATTTTCCCAAAAGATCGGGCCTCTTACGCTGCCCCTGCTCGCTGCTTCCGCCGTCCTCGGCTCTATTGAGCTAACGGGATAGCACAACATTATTCCACGGCCTAGACCACCTGGGCAGCGGAATCACTATCATCTGCACACACGGCGTCCTCTGCTTAACGAGGACTCCATAGGTAAAGTCACTTGAACAGTTAATGTGAACATACCTCACAAAGAAATATGTTGACGGCACTCGAACTGGACAGCTGTTTGCACTTCGGGTTAGAAGTGGTCTTTGACATATGCGCTCACATCTGACAAGTCTGTTCATGCGTACAAACGTGTCACAGAGTTTGTAAATGTAGGTGGCATTTGATGTGTTAGATGTGGCAATTCCAGTTAGGGATATGTGTAAACGCATCCATAGTGTGTACCGGACTGATTTCAAGGGGTGACATTCGGCATCCACTAATCAATTCATCGGTCGGTTAATCAACGCATAAACCGAATATGTTGCCAAAAAATCAGTCGAGATTAATTACTATGGTGTACATAGCGGATGTTAAAATCGACGATGAAATGCACAAACATTACCAATAGGACTGACGAAAATACAACAGGTAAATGAATAACATAGCAAGCCACGTAAAGCCCGGAGCTTAATGCAGAAAATTTCCTCAGCCTACAGACATCTCAAGGACCCAACCACAACAAACCAAGGCATGCAACCAACTGAATAGCTCATTCCAGCGAATTCAACCAACCAACAGTGCCAAGTATCCAACGAGATGACCAGCTTGAGATTCCAATTGACCATATAAACTCGAGTGTTCCAGAAAATCAACTATTCAACCCAGATAAATTCACGGATTGGCTAAACCTATGAGCACATGAAATGGTTAACGAGTTGGGGTGGGCACATATTCTGGGAAAATTACGAGCACGGTAACTGAACAGCACGGGAGAATTACGAGCACGGTTACTGAGCAGCATGCGTGACAGCTGTTATACGCGGCAGACGACACGATACGTAAGTGTCGGCTGCTGATGATGCCAGGGTACTGAGCTCCGGCCGCCTGATCAATGGTCCACACGAGACAATGTGAAAACCGTCGTTGCGTTGTACTATACGATGCATTTTTAATGATGTATGCGCCAGCTCCTGTAGTGCAGTGCAGAGCTGTCACTTTCGAGCCCGCGGGTCTGCAATGTCCGGGTTTAAACAGCTCGCAGGGCTGTGAACAAGACGCTCACGAAATTACATGGCCATGATGGCTGAATTCGTTATGACTGTCAAATCGATTTTGGTCAAACGTCACCGTTCAGACCATGCGTCTGAGCATACCGTGCCAAATCCTTGACTGAGAACTTTTCATGGGGCTAAGCCCATACAATGCGGAGCGATCCACCCATTTCCTCTCCACGTGTGGCCGGGCATGTCTGTTTGCCTGCAGACGGAAGTGGCGGACCCGTCTGGCAGACGCCTCAGTCCCGAGCTAACGCCACCTGAATGGACCAAGTTCACCGACGCCCACGCCGGGCATCGAGCTACGACCAATCAAAAGAAGTGCCGTGGCTAATTTACTGTCGAACTTTGCGGCAGACGACATTGGCCGAACCACTGCTGGAACGGGAGCCGAAACCGAAGCCGGAGTCGGAGTCGAAGCCAGAGCCGCGACCGAAACCGATCCGGGGAGTGCCGCCGCGGCGGAGGCTGACGGCCGCACCCCACCCGGACATGACCGGATGACGTCATCACCGGTCGCGGTCGCCGATGACGTCACCGACCCTGCACGCTCGCCGCTCAGGTGACTGGCGCCGCGACGATTGCCCAGCGTATCTCACTGCACAGCCGCCAGGGTCAGCTTCTACCTTTTCTACCTCACTTAACCGCGGTGAAGGTAACCAGCTCACCCCCGGTACTATTAAGGCACCAAGCCTTTAGATGCCATGAGTACGGCTGTGGGTGATAAGGGAAATAAATGCTTCTTGCGTGGCCTTGATATACCATTTTTGCAACAGAGACGTAGGAAGCCCATCCCAAACATCTGCAGCGGGAAACGTTCGCGATCGGCCAAAAAAAAACTGACTAAGAGCGTTGTTCCACCTGTTTGGTTGCTCAAATGTACACAGTACTAGGCCGTATGGTTAGATATTCCAACGGCTTTGGTGGGGTATCTATTACCAATATTTGTCGGTACTCACATACTGAACCATTGGCGCTAATGTCTGATATGCCTGAAAAAGGCATGTCAAGTTTAATTTCTTTCCTATAACGTCCCAATACCTATAATGGTATAAGCGTTGGGACGCGGTGTGTTCGGCGGATTGATCTGCTGAACATCAGTCCTACTCGCTTTCGCTGAGAAAACTGATAAGCGTTCAAACAAAGAGAATACACCAATGATGGATGTGGAGATCAATGCCAAGAAAACCGATTCCCACTGCCAGAAATTTGGCATTGGGTCTATGGCGGAGAATCGAGACAAAATAATCCAAGTTCTTCGCTAACATTGCTAAACTGCTAAACATTGCTAAACTGGGCCCTTGGCCGCGGTGATAATTGCTAATGGAAATCCGCAATTTGACGTAAACCAGGCTGGCTCTCAGAGAGTTCTCTGTTAAAAATGATGCTGACCGGACCGCGTGTCGTGTGTTTATCTCTCAGGCTTTCACCGATCAAAATAGCAATACACTTTGGACGTTATACGAGCAAACCTCAGAAACTCCACACTGTCATGATGTGCGAATTCGCGCACAGCTCCAGTCTCAACTAGCAAAATAAGTTGTGCTATTCTTGGTGCATAACATCTAGTTGTAAATGCGCTGAAAGTGACAATAACGCGAGTACTAACAAAGTTTCCAAGTCCCCAGTAGTAAACATATTTTTGTTTTGCTTCGTAGTGTGACAACTTGTGTACACCTGAAATGCTTTTGAAAAGCTGTTGATTTCCCGTGTGGTCTCGTACCGGGACCTCAGAGCAGCTGTCAATTGTTAGCCCAACTTGGGGCAGTCAAAGCTTATCGAGATTTCAAAAAGAAATTCTCACTGAACAGTGCTGGATCGCGGCAAAACAGAACCAACACTCGGTGCACTGGTGAGAGGAACGCGTGGGGCGCAGGCTGGATGTCTGGAACTGCAAGGTTTTACTGACTGTAACTTCGTAACAATCACAGTGTTTGTTACGGGGTAGCATTTTACACGTAATTCTGAACAAACATTTTAGTTCACATCTGCGTGAGCGATCGGATGAATACTACTCTGGCTCTCACCGGAGCCCTTTAGAGCCAATCGTCCTCTCGCTGATAGACTGAGACTGTGCGCGCTTTCCACACAGCAACCCAATCAGGCAGCTATCTCACGCGCAAAGTTATGCAAGGTTTCCCACGGGTATACTAAGTACGGCTGCAAATAAATTCGTAAATTCGACCGCGTGGGTGGCACAGGTACGTAATGGCTGCTCCCATTGGCTGCTCTCGGAGCTCCTGCGCTAGCACTGCTGGTCAGTGGCAGCTGGTGCGGATGTCATCTAAAGAAATGGCGTTGTTTATAGAAAAAAACTTGCTGAAGACCACTAAACATCACCCCACGTCTGGAGTTATCATCACGCCGAGGAGAGCTCACTCCGCTAGCACGCGTATGACTTATCATTAGGTATTTAAACAGATTTGAAAGTGTCCTCCTTGCTATGAGTTCTCCAAAAATGCTCGTTACAGTGCCCTTTACACGGGGAGAATGTCGCTATTTGGTGGCTTATGCATTTTATTTGTTGACGGTTGCCACTGGGCCCACCTCACGGTTGTCACGCGTTGACCCACCTCAGAAACTCTCACAACAAAATACGTGCTTAAACATCGCCAGCTTGTCAGACAGAATGTCTGAAAGCAAATCAAGTTATTTCTTAAACCTCCCTTAAACAAATAAACCTGTCTTCTGGCAGAGGTTTATCAGAGGTCTTCACTGAGAGGAAGCCTCTCAGAGATCCTCCTCTGACTTGGTGGATTTCATCAGGAGTCCTCCTACCCTGACGGGGAGTCCCTCAGATGCCCTCCGCTCCTGGCCGGGCGAGAGTCCACCCCTTCTAACAGGGAGTTCCTCAGATGCCCTCCGCTCCTGGCCGGGCGAGAGTCCACCCCTTCTAACAGGGAGTCCCTCAGATGCCCTCCGCTCCTGGTCGGGCGAGAGATCCACCTCCTCTAACAGGGAGTCCCTCAGGTGCCCTCCGCTCCTAGCCGGACGAGAGGTTCACCTCTTCTAACAGAGAGGTCGGCAGAGGTCCTCTCATGACGGAGCTCCTCTTCGGTGCTCCTATCACGACGGAGCTCCTTTTCTCTTGGCAGAGAGTCAGCGGAGACGCCGACGCGAGCTGCCTCTTCGTCTGCCACGGAGGAGGAGCACGACGCTCTCATCCGGCTGGAGGAGCAAGTGCAGTGGCTGCGTCAGCAGTTCCTGGACGCCGAACAGGAGTGGGAGCAGGTGCTTGAGGCGGTGGGGGCGGAGCAACAGTTTAGGCAGTTTGTCTGGAGTGGCAGACAAAATATAGGCTCGTCTTTGGTCTTTTCCCTCGCTGCCAATCGGTGTGGAAGTTGTTTGCTGCACGTAAACGTGCTCCATCCATTCCCTGCCTACACCAGTTCCTGCACACTGCCTAACCCGGTTCAGACATTTCTGGACCCAAATCACACGTATCCCTGGCAGAGAAGCCTGCCTCTGGCGATTGCTCATGGGCCCTAACTATCTCTGGTTGCTGCTCAGGGCTTCTGACTGCCTGTGGTATCACGTCAGCAGTGCTGACTTTCCGTTGTCTTCCAGCAATACCGGCAATCTTTTCCTCAGCAGCACCCGGCAGGCTTAAATCAACTCAGCAATGCTGAGTATTGCCGATGTCTCCTCAGGAGCGCCGCCAGCTAATGCAGGAGGTCACGCAGCGACAAGAGGACTGCCAGCTGATGGCCAGCGATATTCAGCACCTGGAGCAGGAGCAGCAGCCGCTCCTGCTTCTTCAGGAGCGGGCCAACAGTGTGCTGGACGTCTTACGGAATCTTCGACACGTGGTGAGGGCGCGCCTAAATCAGTCTCCGTCCATCAGATTATCAATGCATTTTTCTCCGGGGCTTTGTTCATCTCGAAACATTTTTACTTCTGAATTTGCCAGTGCCATTTCATTTTTAGCGCGGCGGACACGCTCGGGAGACCAGACTTCGAATTGACATGGCAATCACCAAAGTTTGTCAAAGCTGATGCTGGCAACGATTTTATTACTACTTATATAACTGGACAAATTTCGACGCTGTTTTGTGGCGTCTACGCAAGCAGTTCTTCACGTCCCCATTTCGGAGTGATGACACCCAAACGCACAATAAATTGAACATCGATTTCCTTATCGTAGATAGCAGCCTTCTGTCGCAAAATCGTTGTCGACCTCGCCGACATCCAAGAGGCTCCCGAGCCGTGACGTCAGCCGGTGTCGTCGGCCGCTGACATCACGCTCATACCCATCAGATTCCTCAGCCATGACGTCGGCCACTGATGTCATGTTCATACCCATCAGATTCCTCAGCCATGACGTCGGCCACTGATGTCATGTTCATACCCATCACACTCCTCAGCCATGACGTCGGCCATTGACGTCATGATCGCACCCATCATATTCTTCAGTCATGACACCGGCCACTGATGTCATGATCATACCTATCAAACTCCTCAGCCGTGACGCCAGCCGGTGACGTCGGCCACCGACATTATGTTCATACCCATTAAACTCCTCAGCCGTGACGTCGTCCATTGACGTCATGTTCATACCCATCAGGCTGCTCAGCCGTAACGTCAGCCGGCGACGTCGGCCACTGATGTCATGATCATTTTCATCAGACTCCGCAGCCATGACATCGGCCGCTGACGTCATGTACACACCCATCAAACTCCTCAGCCGTGGTGTCAGCCGGCGACGTCGGCCACTGATGTCATGATCATTTTCATCAGACTCCGCAGCCATGACATCGGCCACTGACGTCATGCTCATACCCATCAGGCTCCTAAGCCATGACGTCGTCCACTGACGTCATGCTCACACCCATCAGGTTTCTAAGCCGTGACGTCGTCCACTGACGTCATGCTCACACCCATCAGGTTTCTAAGCCGTGACGTCGTCCACTGACGTCATGTACACACCCATCAGGTTTCTAAGCCATGACGTCGTCCACTGACGTCATGCTCACACCCATCAGGTTTCTAAGCCGTGACGTCGGCCGCTGACGTCATGTACACACCCATCAAACTCCTCAGCCGTGGTGTCAGCCGGCGGCGTCGGCCACTGACGTCATGCTCATACCCATCAGACTCGTCAGTCGTAACATCGGCCGCAAACGTCATGTTCATACCCGACTGACTCCACAGCCGTGGCGGCAGCCGGTGTCGTCGGCCACTGACATCATGCCCATACCCGATAGACTCCTCAGCCGTGACGTCGGCTGCTGTCTTCTCCCAGTGACGGCACACCGACAGTCCTCAGACCTCCCATCTGTGACGTCGTTCTGTGTTCTCTGCCAGTGGCGTCATGCTCCTCCCGTTTCAGAACATTTCGACTCGCGCGCTGGGCCGCCTGGTGTACGACGCCCTGGAGCGGTGTCAGGAGACGGACGGCGGCCAGGCGGCCTTCCGGTTCCTAAACGCCCTGCACCGGGCCGCCTCGGGCTACGAGCGTCTGAGCACCGAGAGCCTGATCCAGCTGGCGCTGGAGGGTCTGGGCCCCGACCGGAGCCGGTGGAGGAGCGCAGCTGAGCAGCGCCGGGGTCTCGCGGGTCGGGGGTCACTCTGGGCACACGGGTCACACATTCAGGTTTTGGGCGTGGGAACGCGGCGGCGAGCGCCAGAGTCGCCGTAGGCCTCGGCTAACGGTTTTGCTGGTGAGAGGCCTTGGGATTGAAGCTGGCAGCAGGCTCCCTTGTACCATTGCGAAGGCACTTGAGCTTGTCGAAGAGCTGTCGGAAAGGCTAGCCTGTATGGGTTCATGTGGTGGGTGGACGCGGAGCACTTCCCACGCGGTCCATTCACCTGGAAGTCGTCTTAGCCGTGACCAGGAGCGAGATGACTTGGTCGGTCTCGGATGCATGTCCAGACAGCACCAAACGGCGCCCTTATTTTCTTACATGTGGCGGTATTTTTCTACAGCTTGCATCCCCGAGGCTTCTCGCGCTGAAGTTTGTTGTTAACTTGGCGATGGAGCTCAGGCTTTAATCACGTGTAACGCTCCAGTCGAATCGCTGTGTTTACGAGCATTCACTGTGCACGATGTTTTGCGACTATAACTTCGTAGGATTACGTTCATGTTACTGTAAGCTGAACGTCATCCCGAGTTGTCAACTGGACCCGTCAAGCTTGAAGGTTGCACTAGAGCACGCTTACTAAATGTTCGTGTTGTTTATCCATCGTCCCACTGCGATGATGCGAAAATAAGTGCTGCAACTGCGCAGTCAATAAACAATTTTCCTGTCCTAGATTTCATGCACGATTTGACGTTCCATAAGTGTCCAGCAGTGTCACGATCATAAGAAAATTCTGGAGAGCTGGACGTGGAGAATTCTCCAGCTAACTCCGCCGCAAGCGCATTGAGTGAGAAGGATTCCAAAGCGGCGAGTAATGGACATTTGGAGACGGCGCCGTCGTATCGTGAAATGGCTAGTCCTGGTGTTGAGACCTCCACTTTTCGGAGGATTCAAGCGCTAATGAAGCGGGCCAGCCGGACACAAAAATGGTGAGTGGGCAGCATTGGTAACAGCGATGATAAATCATGAAGTGCTCAGCTCTGGCTTAGTGGCTTACAGTCAACGAACAGTGTGTAGAATAGCCTATCTTCATCAGTGGGGTAATTGCTTCAACATGAGAAGAGAAACGAATTGAATTCAGACTTATTTGTCTGAAATCGATCCATGGCGAGCATGTCAAAACAGTTGTTTGCGACTGCACATGTCGCTTAAACCATCCGCGTTACGTTGTGTTGAGATCCATAGTAGTGATAGCGTGGTTTGTTTTGATTGGTTCATTAGTCTGTTTGTACTCGCTGCATGTGCA